CGGTCCAGAATTGCAGCGAAGCATAATCGGCGAAAAAAATGCCTGAAGTCTATTCCACTGCCTCCTCGTTCTGGGCCATGATCTCGTTGTCCATGTCTTCCAGCACTCCCTGCATCTCCTCTTCGGTGGCCTCCAAACCATCGGAGCTCATGAGTTTCGTGTCCTTCTCCTCAGCTAGGGCATGGTCAGCTATCATCACGTATTGTGTGGGACATGGTTTTAACTTACTCCTGGCCTCAACAAGCAAGTTCTCCTGAACCTCGACGTTTGTCAGGACTGAGTTATCACCAATGACACAGCGCTTGCCAAGAATACATCTCGTAAGCTTGCAGTTCTTGCCCACCACGGCGCCTTCCATCAGCAGACATTGTGAAAGCTTGGCACCCTCGTTGAGCTGGCAGCCAGCTCCAACGACGGACTCCTTGATGGCCACCTTTTCTTCTACTGTGACATTCTCTCCAACTAAGCTGTCGGCCTTGGTGATTGTCGTTCGGCCCTTGACGCCCTCCGGGTATGCCACCTTTTTGGCGTGTGCGAAAGGAGATGCTGCCTCGCTGCCAGTCTCTTCCACCGATGGGACCTTGGCAAGCTGTAGTGATACGTTCAGGAGTAGTTGAGCTGTGTCTACACGGCGTATCATCGGTGCATCGGCTCCAGAAGGATGTACGTAGGCGATAATCGGTGGTACCTTGAGCAACGCCCCCTGAGGATTTGTGCCGTCAACGTCTTTTCTATCAAAAGCATTGTCGTCAACACCTCTGCTGGGTCGCAGCTCTTCAGGGTCGTCGTCTTGGGGCGACGAGGCGCTCTCCTGCAATGAATCGTCGTCGTCACTATCGTCTACCTCTTCCTTGCGCAGAACCTCGTCCAGTTGGAGCTTTTCCGCGAGACCCTTCTGCCAGGTTGCCTTGGCCCACCAGCCAATGACGTCTTCACCAATGTTTTCCAAACGATCATTCTTGTCAACAAAGTCCATGATCCATCTTGGTAGGATGTACAAGTGCGCGTCTCTGTGTGTCGTGAGCATCTTCAGGCGAGGATGGCTCCGCAGGAGACCATGACGGACAGCAAAGCCTCTCCGTGTCTCCATGAGATCCTTCAGCGAGTCTGTGGGTATAGATGTCACCAGGTTGGAGAGGTTAGGGAGTAAAGATCCCTTGGGGGGGGGGACGGGGGATGGAGTCGACGGTGTTACCGCGATGAAGTCCGTCTCCTCTCCTTTGACCGGAGTTGCCGTCTTCGTCTCGTACCAAACGCCTAAACCGCCGCTGAAGGGGCTCTGTTTGCTTCCCGAATACTTTGGCGCGCTCAGCAGGTCCGACATGCTCGCGCCCTTGACCATCCATGCCTGCAGCAGCTTCTCGCCGGCAACCTCGCAAATGAGATCGCAGGGAAGAACGACAAAATCGGACTTGACGATTTCCTTGACCTCAGGTAAGCGGAGGATCTCAGCCGTGCCTGTGGTTTGGTCCAATTCCTTGGGGGCGAGGATGTCTGGTCTCGGCAAGGGAAGTGCTGTCAAGTGAGGGTTGGTGTTCAAGGCAGTGGTGATTGCTGCTTCTGCAGATGCCGGGCAGATGAGAGTAATGTCTAAAGTAGTCAGCCTCATAATTTCCATGAGCAATGGCTACTATGAGTGCTCATATTGAGCCCAGCAATGAATGAAGACCAGCCGAAAGCACCTACTTGTGACGCCCATACGATAGCAGAAATCGACAGGATACCAGACCATGGGCCGGTTGGCAATGGGCAAGAGCGCCTTGGGGTTCTCATCGGGATTCGAAGTGAAAGTCGGGAACGATGATCCCGGGCCGCAAAGGACCAAGGCTTGGAGCCCTGGTGAGGGCATCGACACAGCGTGGGGCATCTCGAGGTGATTTGGCGGGGTATTCCGTTTGCGACAGGTGACTGCAGCGAGAGAAGCCGGGGTGCGAGAGCGTAGAAACCGGGCTGTTGAGATGTACGATGCAAGATCGATTCGTCTTGGGCCTTGTTGAAGCTTAGGTCCTGTATTGCTCGCACCAATGCCGGTTCAATAACCCTTTTCTTAGATATTTTTTGTCTGCGCGCTGAAGGAGTCATCGCCAAAAAACGTCCCGCGACGCTAGCCAATCGGCAGGGACCCACTATTGACGTCGCGCATCAAGGTGGGATGATGCACGTGATTATCGGTACATCCTCGGTCCGGCTGACGGCTGCTCACCTTGGCTGACAGGCGGGAGGGCGAGGTGAGAGATTTTGGCCCGGCAACCAATGGCAACACGGCCAACCTCGGGATCCCCCCTGGGCCTTAGCTCCTTGCCCATTAGGTCAATTCCCCCATGTTGATGTTCCCCCAAGACCAGCCACCCGAGCTCGCGACAAGTGGGTGATCTATAGCCCACCCCCCCATTTGCGACTTCCTGTCTGTTGACAACATCGAGAGCCGAATCACGACTCAACATCGACGATTGCGATACCATTGGCGAATTCACAGACAAAACCAGCCTGAACACCTACGCAACCGCCCGAATCGTTGGACGAAGCTCGACAAGCTCGAGTACCTTGTATTTACGCAAATCCACACCTTATATCTATCTAGGCTACGTGCCTAAGTGCAATGGTTGCGTCCAACTAAATGTCGTGGCCCAACGATCAGAATTCTCGGAGGCGAGGGGTTTGGAGCCATTGGGTGCCACTTGCAGTCACTGTGACTGTTGCGACAGTCGGTATCGCAGCGTGGGTATGGAGTCAGCGCAAAGATGAGGATGACACCCCCGAGAACGAGCAATACCCCGACCTCGACTACGACAATGCAAACTATGGCGACAATCCTGCGTACGGGACTTCCAGAGGACCCAAACCCCCCTCCAGCAACGTCGGAACCGAAACATACGGCACGGCCGAGGGACCCCGAGATGCACCCGGGGATGGGTTGGGAGCAAGGATGTCTGGCGCTTTGAGGCGCACGCCCAGCCCCCAGCAGTTCCTCGACGCTGCCGGGAAGACAGTGACTGCTGGCTTCGCCGCCGCCGGCGCTGCAGCCGGTAGGGCACTGGCCGCCATCAGGGAAGAGGACAAGAATGCGTACGCTGACCATGAGACATGGTCCGAAGAAGCGGATGCCAGAAAGGAACGATCTTCCAGGCCTAGAGACCCCAGTAAGCGACGACGAACAGTTGCCATTGTGGTTTCTGCGGACAGCCACGGTGACGACTTTGACGAAGACGGATTCCATGAACACGCCGTAAGCCCCTCCCTCCTACTTGCCATAGGTTCCGAAGCTCCCCGCTGACTCCTTCACAGTCCATCTTGTCGCATATTCCGCGCTACACCAACTTCAACGATATCAAGCTCTTCGTTTTGATCTATGCGCCGGGCCTGAAAGAGACGGCGGGCGAATCTACTAGTAACCTTCCGCCACCGTCGTTGAGCTCGTCCTTCTCTAACATTGAGCACCATCAAGCCCAGACGCCTGGCGAGGAGTCATCCAAGAGCCCTCTGATGAACCCTTCGCCTGCAAACCCTGCCTTCAATGCCGTTTACTCCCAGGCATTGGCTTTAGTTGAGAAGGAGACCATGGTGATGCCTTTCACTACGGCCAATGGCCACACCCATATTCTTCGCCATCTCCAGCCCGAGATCATCTATCTCCAGGAGTCTCTTGCAGGCGACAACGGTGCCATGGTCTCCAATCTCCAGACCTGGCTGCGCCACGACATCATTCTTGTTGTGGGTGCCGAGGGTGGTGGCGGTGGTCTCGCTGATAGCGAGTCTGAGGCAGAGAGGCCTGGCAAGGAAGAAAAGTGGTGGCAGCGATCGGACCGCGTGGGACGTGGCCGAGGCGTTGTCGTCGTTGACGGCATGCGGGTCCATGACGACTGGGCCCGCCGTGTCCAGGGCAAGGAGTAAATACTCTCTCCACTGTATAAACGAAGACTTCCAATAAGGGAAATCTGATCTCATGGGAGGACGGGACGGGTATGAAATGTGTGTTTTTATTGGATTGGTATATACCACGAGATATCATGTAACGTTTTCATGAGCAGATAGGTAATTGACCGTTGCGACGCGAGATGAATTGTTTTCATAGTGAATTACCTTGATGATGTGCCCCTAAATGGTATTTGTGCCGTACTAACCGTGATGTGTTATACTAATCTGACCTCTATGCATTCAAAGTATGTCCGAAATTGTAGCTTAAATAGAGTTTTGCTTGGGATTCCTCGGTAGGCAGTACCCGAGACTATGATCCGTTTTCGTCAATGTTCCGATTTTCATTATGTTGAATGAAAACTAAAAGAAAAAGAATGAAATATTCGCTCCTGACCTAGGCATAAGGGAAGAGGTAATCCAGTGAAGGTCAATCGGACTTGAACGATGACTAGATACTAGTAGCTTAATTCAAATCGTCATATTCTTATTGCTGTAGCCTCTATTCACTGTTTAGACAAATTGACAGCGCAATCCAGTCCATGATAATCGATATGTTAAGATATTGGAGTACGTACAGTCTACACACTGTACAGAAACAGTGATCCGTGCGTCTATCCGGGGTTTTGCCTGAGGCTCTACTTTGCTCCACGCCCGCGTCCCCGTCTCGGAGACTTGCGGCGGCTCCTCCTTGGACCTTTCTCCGACTCTCGCGGAAGCCTGACTACATCCTAACCCCACACGCTTGGAATCCATCCATCAGGGCTGTTGTGCATCTTTCCCGTCGTCTTTTTTCTGAATCTTGACTTCGTTACCTTTTTGGTCCTCTGCCGGAGATACATTCGACACAACTGCGACCGCGTATTCGATATAAATTACCCTGCTCCACGTCGACGTCACCCGATTTGTCAACGCGCATCATCCACTCGACCACCCCCGTAGCGAACCCCATCACGATCGACGAGCCGAATATCTCATTCAATGATTGCTCTGTAACACAACTCTGGGCATCATTCGACAGTGGGAGAATAGCCTCGCGACGCCATCTCTGGCCTGTTGCGCTCCGGTAGCCGCCCCATCCGGCAAAAATGGCGCCAGTCGTGACGGCCATCCAGCCGCCTTCTGTCGCGTCCAAGATTAAGCGTCCTGTGCCCCCCGGCATCCAGACCAATGGAGCGAGTTCTATCCGATCATCGCCATCGCCTTCAATGTCGACAAAGAAGCCTCCCAACTCTGCGACAACGAATGGCGCGAATCCGCAATCAGCGCGGCCTATCAATCGCACGCGCCGTGAACAGTCAGCCCAAGGCAGTCGCATTTCTAGGAACAGTGTGGGACTCCGATCGGCGTCGCTCGTCGGCGATATGGCAGCCGCCCAGCCTTCAGAGCCGTTACCATATAGTTAGTAGATTGTGGACTGGCTGCAATCATCATGGACGCCAATACTGACAGGTTATAGTTGTGACGGATGAATACATCTTGAAGAAGTTCGCAGGCAACGCACCTTCCCTCGTCGTACACATGCACGCAACGCATTTCCGATTCGATCAGCAGGACGGCATCTTCCCATACAAGTCCCCAATGCGTTTGTTCTTGGAGCACTTGCGCGAGCGCACCGTACCTCACGACCTCATCGAATACTTCTCAGAAGCGGGTGTCCCTTTCTACGAGGGATGCTTGATCGTTCAGGTGCATGATCACAAATCTGTCGCTCAATCTAAGGAAGTCCAGCGACCAACATCGGCTTCGAGCAAAGTTGTGCCATCCTCTATTCACAACCACAACCCATATATCGTACCTTCACCATACGTTCCTTATCCCAAAGAGTCTCTCGGTGCGCAGCCTGATGCTGCATCCGCTACACAGGAGGACACGAAACCCAAAACTGCAGAGGAGAAGGATAAACAGAGCATGCCGGCACCTAGTCTGCCTGGTGAAGGTCAAAAGAGCAAGATACCCTCAAAGCCCAAGACTTTCACTGTCGTACTCCACCCTACACCTGAAAGCCTCCAGGCAGACCTGATGATCAAGGCTGCAACGCCTCGAGGCGCGGCAGGAAATGTGGAAGGCACTGGCGCTGTACCCCCGTCAACGCCGATTACTATGGTGCCCCCAACTCCTACTGCAGGCAGCATGCCTCCTCCTGCCAAGAAGCAGAAGCGTGAGCGCATGGAGCTCGATGGAAGCAATATATACCAAGCAGAGTCACAGATCTTGCTTGCGACCAATGCTCCCCTGATTCTCGAGCCAACCCGAGATACCGAAGAGACTATTGCTTTGCTCGATGCGTTGGCACACCCCCAGCACTCCGACTCGCCCCCTCAGCCCAAAACTCGCAAGAGAACCGTGGCAGAGATGGCTGCCGACGAGGCCGCCGCAGCAGAACAGGAAAGATACATGCTTATCTTGGACGAGCGCCTCTCATCGGCTGCCAACGGTACCCAAGGCGGGGCCAACGGAGCGGACAAAGAAGGCCAAGCTGTTGTGTCTACGTTCGAGCCAAGATTCGAGCGGTTCAAGGTCATCGCTGACATCAAGAGAGAGCACGAGGAGAGGAAGGAGCAAGAGAAGGTCGAAGCGGCCGCGAAAGAACGCCAGCTTGCACAAGAGAAGCAAAAGCAGATGCAGGAACAACAAGCGGTCATTGCGGCACAGCGCCAGGCGGAACAAGAGAAGATGCGGCGCGAACATCAAATGGCCCAAGAACTCAAAGCTCGCCAAGAACAACAGCAGAGAGAGGCACAGAGACGGGCTATGGCTGCACAGGCTGCTGCGAACCAGGCCGCCCAGAACAATCAAAATGCTGCGGCAAACCTGGCACAGCAGCAGCAGCAGCAGCAACAACAACAGCAACAGCAACAGCAACAGCAACAACAACAACAGCAGCAGCAACAGCAGCAGCAGGCGAATGTTGCTATGCCAAACGGTACATCCGGTGCAATGCCAAATGGCGTTCCGGCTCAGACCCAGGCACGTTTCTCTCAAGCATCGCAACCGCCTGTGTCTCCCGTCGTCAGACAGGGCACACCCCACAGCATGTCATCTCCCATGCCTGGTGCTGTGCCTATGCAGCAGAACAACTCTCAGATGGCCAACAGCCCGCCGCGCCCGCCATCAGCCGTTCAAGGCCACCCGCCCAACGTTGGAGGAGTCCCAATGGCGCACAGCATGTCTGCTCGCGCCAGCCAGCAGAGTCACCAGGCTGCCACACCGCGCATCCAGCACGGTACGCCAAACATGCAGGGAACACCCGTGCCTCGCCCGGCAGTGGCTGCAACGCCTCGTATGAATCAGGCAAGCCCACCTCCCAATATGATGCAGTCAAACTCTCAGATGGGCCAACACGTCATGATGGGTACTCCCGGTGCTATGCCACAAGCTGCGCATAACCCCAATATGATTGCCGCACAGGTTGCCCAACAACAACGAGCCATTCAGCAGCAGCAAATGGCTGCCGCGATGCAAAATGGCATGGGTAACATGATGAACGGCAACATGAACCCACAGCAGATGACACCTCAGCAACAGCAGTACATGCAGCAGCAAATGCAGCACAGACTCATGATGCAGCAGCAGCAGCAGCAGCAGCAGCAGCGCGGCAACCTGGGCGGCAACATGAGCAACATGATGAACCAGCAACTGGCGCAGAGATACGCTCAGCAACTCAGCCAGATGGGCGCCAGCAACATGAACGGTGGTCAAATGACGCCGCAGATGCAAGCACAGCTTCAGGCACAAATCCAGGCGCAAATGAATCCGATGCAGCGCCAGATGGCCGGCGGCGGCCAGAACATGATGAACGGCCAGAATATGAATATGCAGGCTATGATGCAGATGCAGCAGCAGCAAGCAATGAACAGTAACAACGCATTGACGAACCAAGTCAAGCTGCAAGGTCAAGCGATATACAATAAGCAGATCGCCAATCTTGCCGCTAAGTGGGGTGGTGCTGTTGAGAATATTCCGCCTGAGCAGATGGAGGCCTTTAAGAGAAACTGTATGATGGAGGCAAAGAATCAGATTCAGAGCGTTCTTGCCCAGCGCAGGGCTCATCAGGTCATGATGCAGCAGCAGCAACAGCAGCAGCAGCAACAACAGATGCAAGGCATGGGCGGCATGATGGGACCTCACGGCATGTAGGACTCGCCCGGTTTCCGACCCCGGTGCTGGTGGGCTCAGCGACCCTCGTAGGACACATGAGCACGCGCCAGACGTGCCGTCGCAAATCGAACCGGGATTCAACTGGCAATCACTATCGCCAGTTGAGTCAGGTCTAATATGGGACATGCCGTCACAGATTATTTTACTGGTCAACGCTGCGAGCATGTCGAGGGGAGTGAAATGAATCATTAGGAGATTATGGTGCGCACGGAATGGGTTGTGAGCGTCTTTTATGGTACTTTGGCGTCTGGGGACTTTAGGGACGGATTGGCTGTTTGATCTCTCATGGTCTTATATACCCCTACGAAGGCGTACTTACCTTATCCTTCGAGGTGCGGTCAGGGATGGACGGCAATTGCTTTTCATGGGTCACGGAGGAGGGAAGGGAATGGTGCATACCACCAGAGCAGTTCAAGGCTCTGCGGAAGCGAGCTCATGTATCATTTGATGTACAGGGTATCAAAGCAGTTTATCATACTACAGTGCCTGCTCGATGTGTTGAGTGACTTTGGCACTACCAAGTTGCCTCTTTTGGTGAACCTGAGTACGTGTATAGACTAGGTAACAGTAACACTAACGAATCTCATAAGCGTAAGGTGAGCCATGGCCGAGGTGTGCGAAGGTGAGGCAACGTGAGGCAACGTGAGGCAGGGTGAGTTGAGGTTGGGGGTTCAACATTGGCTTATGTCAGCCAGACCGATAACAGTGCGGCCAGATCCGTGCTCGTTGTCCACTTCCCCCATGCAAGGCATGGTCTCTGCACGTGATTCGCTAGATCTTCGGCATGACGATGATGCAACGAGCTAAATGCCGCCTGGCCAAAACGGTCAGGTCCCATTCTCCCAAGCAGCACCTCAGCCAAAACGAGGTCATTCACCCGCTGCCACAGTCCACTTGCTCCGGCCTCCCAAGCCACATGAACGACACGCCGTGACCTGCCCGTTTTCTGTTGCCTGCCCAGCTTCCAGAACCACACTCATTACGTACTAAACTACTCTTTTTTCCATCTGTTCCCCTTTTTCTTCTCCCAATACTCTACGAAACCTTGCAGCAGCTGTTGCTTGCTAAGCTTTCGTAATCCGCAGCAGATCCGCCTCTCCCCGAAACCCCCATCGAAGCTCAGACGGTCCCCCGTTTCCATTCACCCCCGAGAGAAACGCTTGGCTGGATCTCCCGCGATGCATTTCCCTCGACTATCGCGGGCCGAAGGAGCCTTTGTGCTGGCACTGCTGTTGGCGCCCTTGCCGGCGGCTGCGATGCTCGATTGCAAACACATCCGAGTCGACGACGTCTCATTCAACCTCGAGGCGCTAGGCGGACCACACAGCGTCGTGACCAGCCAGTGGCATCCTCCTACATACACCAACACATCCTACACCGTCGATATCTGTGCCCCCTTGAAGCGCAAAGGAGACGTCAAGAAGGAGGAACAGTGCCCTAGTTTCACAAGAGGTATGGATCTACGCGAAATCGTTGGACGATTGAGAAGCGGCAAGCTCGCACAGAACATAGCTAACGTGTCTATACAGTATGTGCCATTGAACGCAACATCCATCCAGGCGACGACAAGAAGGACGAGGTCGAGAAAGTGATACCCATCGCCGGCGAGCTGGGCGACCACGGCGGAAGCAAACTGGACGCCACAGCAGAACGACTCAAGTCGAGCGACTCCAACTCGGACGCGAAGAAGGAGGGTGTCCGCCTGATCCTCAACGGAGGCTCGTATCCGCTGGGTAAGAACGGCAGGAACCAAAAGGCCATCATCGAGTTCCTATGCGATCGTGACAGGACGGGTCTCGAAGGCGAGGTCAAGCCCGAGGACCAGTACGACGGCAGCCAGTTCCGCGCGCGCGAGGAAGGCAAGGAGGGCGAGGATGACGGACCTTCGCCCGACGAGAAGCAGGTTCTGTTGAATGGGACGGCCTTGATCTGGAATAGCTATGGCCCGAACGAGAAGAACGACATGGATGTGCTGAGGTTGACCTGGCACACCAAGTACGCGTGCGAGGACGCGTACGATAAGCCGCCTGCGGAGGGTGGCAGTGGCGGTGGCGACACGAGCAGCCACTGGGGCTTCTTCACCTGGCTCTTTGTCTTGTAAGTCTTGACGGAACCTCCATAGTGGTTTTCTCGCATAAACTAACGTCAATTCTTTCTTTCTACAGGGCTTTCCTCGGTATCGCTGCATACCTCATCTTCGGCTCGTGGCTGAACTACAACCGATACGGTGCTAGGGGCTGGGATCTTTTGCCGCACGGAGACACCATTCGCGATATCCCTTACCTGGTGAAGGACTGGACTAGGAACGTGCTCAACACCGTGAACACTAGCGGTGGCCGGGGCGGATACAGTGCCGTCTAGGTGTAAGAACTGAGATGATGATCCTCGTCCACAGCATCTACTTGAAGAGAGAGAGGTGCAGGGGAATAAAGAGGAAACTGTACATTTTATAGCTGTAAACTGGATTAGTGGCTATGGTTCTGGGTTGCATTATTCTCGCGAGCCTAATCGCGACTGTGGAGTTGGGACCGGTGTCTGGTCCTCTGGAGCTTTGTCGCATTAGCTTTCTTGTCTCATGAATTACATATCTGATTGGAATGGACATTGGTCTCGGGTTTTGGTGCGGATCTTTGTGAATGGTATTCTATAACTTTGGAATACACGACAGGCCAAAGGGTATAGAGGTCCCCTCAACCCCGTTCCTGTCACCAGCCAGCAGGCGCCCGTCTAGGTCGACGGGTCAGGTCAAACTGGCTGGGTGGTGGAGTGGTCCATGGTCAACAAATAGAATCGCCTACCAGCCTACTCGACGACAGGCTTAGCGTATACGAGAGTACCCGAGTTCGAATCTCAGCATGAACACCAAGAGATGTAGCCCCCAGTTCAGCACCGGGGGGGGGGGGGGGTGAACTCTTTTTTCCCTTTCTATACAGAGTGGTTTTCCTCATTGAGACGGACTTTAACGAGACCCGGCTTATGAAAGGAACTATGTAACACAAGTACATCCATTCTATAACTCTGCGGAGCTCACGCTTTATATCTATGTGAGGTTTAACGTAGCAGTCATTATATTTATCCCATAAGCCACGGACGGCGCCGCGGGACTTAGATCCGGGTTAGCCTTAATGTAAGGTTTGGTGGATCCCGCGATTTGGCGGGGCCGGTACAACTGACGTGCAGCACGGATGCATCGAATCTCGCCTGGCCCGGCTCCATGTACCTACCCCCTCCGGCCTATCTCCGCATACTTCACCCGCACCATCGCATACCAGGCATGTCTACCACCCAAAGTAATTTGGTCGACGACTCTGCGCCAATCAATCCAGGGGATCCCGATTATGAAGACTTCCTCGGAGATGAAGAAGAGCCTTCACCAGCCTTCACACCCGCGCCCCTCCCGATCCTCACAAACGAGCCCCACCGACACCCGGACTCCTGCCTGACCCTCTCCCTCCCTCTCATCAAAGCCCTTCACGCACAACTTCCGCCGGCGCCGGATCTCACGCTCTCGATTGGTAGCGGGACGGGGCTCGTCGAGGCTCTGCTTGACTCTTTGGCCGGTACCCAGGACCAAAATCTCTCACAAGCCCCGTATGCTCTTCAGGCTTCTGGAAGTTCTTCTCAGGCGTCACCTGCCCCTCGAGCGGCGCTCAACCTCACCAGCATCGAAATCGCGCCGTCTCCAAATACATACCACCGCAGCCACCGCACCGTTCCAGGAACATGGGCACTCGACCTCGCTGCGGCGGAAGCAAAGGCGTGGGTATTCGTGTACCCGAAGCAAGTCGCTCTCGTTCGGAAGTACATGGAGGCCTTTGCTTCTAACGAGTCTGGTGGGAACGGGGCCGTGGAGACGGTGGTGTACGTCGGTCCAAGGATGGACTGGGATGATTTCCGCGGCGCGTTGGAGCCGTTTGCGGAGAGCGTCGAGGTTTGGGACGAGGAGAGGATGGAGGGTGTTGGGGGGCAGAGGTGGGAATGTGCTGTGAGGGTGACGGTGAAGAAGTGAGTTTGGTGCGAGAGGGATTGGAAGCGTGGAATCATGGATGGAAAGGGAAATCTGGCTTGAACGCGAGATCTCTGGGTGTACAAGAGGTTCTTGGGTTAGGCTTGTAGGCGGTGGGAAGGGGAGATTGCGGGATGCTACTTGGATACCCATGGTCTGGTCACCCGCCTAAGCCGAGATGAATGACATGAGTAAGGGGCGAAGATGGCCGTATCCAGCTTGGTCTCCTTACTCTCACCCGCTTGACGACCGCTTCAAGTCTTGTCATCGGGACAACAGTCGCAAACACAAGCCTTGCCATCTTAAGTGATGCGCGTATCCTACTACGTTAGATGAATTGGACGCAGAAGATGGAAGAATCGACACCCCCCCCAACCCCAATTGTCCAATACGCATGGACTGGTACCTAGATACATGCATTTCTAATCAGCTACTACCAAGACTGCACATCATCACGAAGCGACGCATCAAAAAAGACACATAACCGCAGTAGTGATTGGCGCCAAAATGAATGGGAATTTTCAAAATTTCGCCAATATCCTTTGAAAGGTTCGTTAATCAGTAGAAGTCGCCCTCAGGCTTCGTTCAGGGGCATCGGGTTGCTCACCAGGCCGCCCAGCAAAACGAGTCCATCTTGATCAGGCGTGGTGCTGAAACAGGCCAAGAAGCACCCAGGCACCCTGTGACGGGAGCCGACGCCTTGGTACAACGTCGGGCCTAGATTTGGAGGATGTCCGCCGTCTTTACTTAATCACCCAGAAGATCTAACTACACGATACATTGGTCTAGATTGTATACTACTGGGGCTACGCAAATGCTAAGCTATGCCAATGATGATCACAACCACCCTAAACACCTCGCTCCCGAGACTAGGCACACGAACCTTTCGTCTCCCTCCCTCCCTCCCTCCACATTACAAATTTCCACACAAAACAATAGGTACTATGTAGGTAAATAAGTGAGTGCAACCTGTTTGGCTTGGGCTTTTGTGCACACAAAAAAGGTATTTACGATATGTATATACAACGAGAGTGTGGATAGAAAAAGAAAAGCCTTCGAGGTCAACTCTGAGAAGGCTACCGGGGTCCCTCTTAAGCCGCAGCAGGGGCCGCGGCAGCCGGCATCATCGAGGCAGCAAAGGTGGCGGCCTCATCAGCGTCGTTGCCGTACGTCAAGTGAGCACGGCGGATCTGGTTGCCGCCCTCGCAGATGTTGTCGCCGTTGTGGCAGATAACCTTGGTCTTGGCGGCATCCACACCCTGGACAGCCTGTCCGTTGACTGTGAAGAAGATGCATTAGCTTCGAGACCAAAAACATCATGATCCCCGTGAGAGGGCTTAATGGAAAGCAACTTACGCGGGTCACCGAAGATAACGGCACCTGCAACCTTGGCCACCATGTCGGGCTGCATCATGGCAGCACCGTTGTGGACGAGCTGCCCACCCTGGGAGTATCCAGACATGATGACGGCCGAGTTGGGGCAGTTGGTGATGGCTTGCTCAGTAAGGGTGGCCATCATCTGGGATCCGTTGGCGTCACCTCCGGCCAAGAAACCGGGGATATCGGCGGGATACTCGACACCCTGCACGGCAAGGTTGCCGCCAACCTGAGTCGCAAGTGACTGGAAGAAGGGCGGACCGGCGATGGTACCAACGTTGCCTCCCTCGGTGGTGCCACGGGCAAAAATGACGATCATGGACTGGCACCCGGCGGCGAGACCATCTTGCTGGTTCCCTGAGAAGTCGGCCTGGCGGGGCTGAATCGTGAGAGGGGAGGAACTCGCCGTGCCCAGCAGGGCGAGAAGGAAGGCTGCTGTTGAGCTGTGCATTTTGTGTGCTGGTATTGTAAGGACTGATTATTGTATTTGGCAAGTTATTAGTAAGGAGTGAATATGAATTATCCGATGCTAGCTGAAAGTTGGATCAACAACTATTCAAGGTTCTTGGTCGTCGTCACATGAGATGGGGGGATAACTGGCGGCCATTGCACTCTTATAGCGGAGGTAGTGTGAGATGCTCCTTGTTTCTCCTCCCGATTCGCCTAGCCGGCCGGTAAGACGGAGGCGATATTAAGCTTCTTTTCCTCGCCTATTCCGTGTTGGACATTCCTGCAGCACAACGGCTTCAGGTACCGCAACCTCATCCCAATTGGGTAAAGAGGGCGGATCAGAGGCAGGGACCTCACGTGGGATCGACCTGATCCCGACACTAGACGGGGGAGCCAGGGACGGACTTTGCTGATTCTTCAGAAATCGTAGGGTGGTACGCTGGTACCGGCAGATGATGAAGATGATCAGGAGTAGTCCGCCAAGCTGAGCTGAGCCAAACAGGTGGACCCTTTCAAAGCTTCGTGTGCGTGCCTTGCGTTCCAAACTTCCTTCCCGCAGCCTGGGCGGGCTGAAAAGTGCTGTTGACGACTTGACGGGGCAGACAAAATCCTATAACGGCGCGGATTATCGTAGTGCAGGCCGGTTGCGATTGGCTACAGTCTGATTCAAGAGTGAAGCTGGGTCCGATCTCTTGTTGCCCATGGGGGAGGGAGGGGACGAGTTTCGAAACAACAGGGTGGGCTGTGCGCAACACCAGCGGAAGGGGAGGACACCGACGGTCTCCCAAGCTTTTTCAGAATGTACCGACTGACGTTTGGTGTGGTTTGGTGGGGCTGGATAGGGCGAATGGCGGGATGGAAAACTCGCTGTGGTAGACTGAAGTGGAAGTATCCGTTGAGCTTGGCTGTAGTAGATGGCAGGTCTCTGACAGCGCTTTGTTCTGGTCCCAAGTTCTTCCGCCGTTTTTTGTCGTCTTGACCCAGTCAGGTTGCGAATCATCCCTCCCTGAGAGAAAGGAAGGGAGGGCTGGAAAGGTGGCATCGATACCAAGGGCGAGGGTGACCGCTGACGTGCGTTTAGGTAAGACTGGCGTTAGGCGACAGCTGAACCGTCGGATTTCGATGGCCTTCCGTTTGGCCGTCTGGCTCTTTTGCCAAGATCGTCTCGACTTTTTCTTTCGCTGGTCTTATCATGCTCTCCCTCGATTGCAAGAGGCACTGGACGAAGATCCGGACTTGGGCTCGGGGAAGATGCGGTGAGATGACACAACGACACGGCATCACCCTCGGTAGTGTGTGGTGGCACATCATCAACGCAACGGGGAGATTTCGGCAAGATGATTAGTCGTGACCGAGTAATGATTGTCCGCGGTTGTTATCAATTGGCACTTCAACTAGGCTCATTCGAGCATGTAAGTTGGAGGCTACCGAGGAAGCCCCGCTCCACGAATATCGATGTCACGACATGGCAGGTGCTCTGAGGCGTCAACGGGCGCTGCTGATTGTCGTTGACTTGAATCGGAAAAGCATGATGGAGATGGAGAGTTCTTGGGCAGTCAAGAGAGGTCACCGAGAAGAGTTTCGTCACACCGAAGTCCAACGGCTTTAGCAGTTACGTACCTGCCTCAGGAGCGTAAGGTGAGGTGGAAGGAGTGGAGGGGCAAAACGTGGGGGATGCGCCAACGCAGGGACGTCCGGCAAGATCGGGCCCGCCTCACGGGAGGGGAATTTAGCCGAGACCCATCTTTCAAGGTTGACCTCCACCTTCCGAGGTTCGACGTGGAACTTACACTGGTCTTGCCGTCCACCGAGATATGAGGTAAGACGGCCAGGAACTGCGGTTGGTCCTCGAGGTCAGTGTATACCCTAGACTTACAGTTGGCCTTTGCTCGGTGTGCTTGTTGTATGTTATGAGATGCTCGGAAAGAACTATGACCACTTCCGTCAGAGTCTGCCTCACGGTATGCGTCAAGAACCATCAATCATGAGTAAACTACATCGAAACAACTGCCTTACCGCAGGGCGTCATGATCACGAAAAGAAAAGCTGACGAAAATCTCTGACAGTCAAATATAAGGCCCAAAAGAAGCGAGATAGCCTCATGGGGTCTCAACTCTGCACGATCCAAATGGCGTTGCTGGCCGTCTTCAGCGAGAGAGAAGTGTTCACAATACAACTCGATATAAGCCGCCTTTTTCTGAAATTCATGTCACTTAAAGATAAAAGAACGTCAATGTCAAAAGCAGCTTGCATTATCTCAAAACTGAGTGATATCATCATAGGGAACTAGTCTGCCCTGGGATGTCATCTTCCCATGTCTCAATCTCTTCAACTATGGTTCCGTTCCATCGTGTTGCCGAAAGTTTCTCTTCCGTCTGTCTTCTCCCCAATTCCCCGCCTGATAAGTTGAGGCTGTGGTAGACGTAGTCAAAGAGAGTTGTCAACTCCGAACCCTAAACCATCTTGCGGAATCGGCGCATCCGGATCGACTGACTCCTTACGGCCAACGGGTCTCATCTCGATACGAACAAACTTCTGGTTGTTGTTCATGTCCAAGATGATGAGTCTGCGTTGCTTAAAGGCCCTGCCACATGAGTCGCGGGTCGAAAAGAACTCGACTGGGTAGGTAATGCGGAGGCGATCAACAATGGTCATCTTTTCGTCCACCCAGCCGGGGTTCTCCTGAAAGTATTGCTTGATCTCTTCTAGGCCGTGGAAGATCTGACCAGAGAGTTGAATATCCACAAGTAGCATGACATCGGGAGCGCAGCGCTCTTTGACCATAGCGAAGTTATCATGGTACAGAGCGGTGATGAGATCCCAGGCCAAGCTCTCCTGCACAACACGGTAAGGCCGATTGCTTGACTGCCCTCTGATCTCTTGAAGCCATCGCTCAAGTTTCTCTGCCCCGAATATCTGCTCCATCTTTGAAATGCGTTAGTGTTTTGGACAGATATCTCTCAAAGGCGGTTGTCTCTTACAGTTGATAGGCGTGAGTATAGATAGACCAGAACCACGAGGTATTTATCGCGTGGCGAAATTGTAGGGAGTGCTGGAAGGGGTTGATGATACTTGGCCTCGAGAAGAAGTCTTGTTGGTCTGGTGAAAGTTGAATGATGGGACCCAGTAGCAAGAAGCCTACGCAATGAGAAGGTTCTACTTGAGTGTCCAGGACCTTGGGTTGCTGGAGAGGAAGAAAGCAGAGAGGGTTGGAAGATCGAGAGGATCTTATACTGCGAGAAAAGCGGTTGTGAAGACCTCACGAGGGAAGGAATGCCCTCTCGCGCCTCCCCCTTAGCGGCAGTCGTCTCCCTGAGCGAGGGAGGTGCCGCTGGAAGAAGATGATGAATAATATCTAGAAGCAAGCTATAAGATGCGTCTGAATCCATCACCAGCATTGGGGGCGAAGGAGGTGATCGGAGAGGGCAACAACACCCTCCTGTGTCACACTTTAGTTTGAAGTTGCATTCATTCCCATTGAACATATCCAAGTTTTCGGCAAGTCCATCTCTCAACACGGTAAGCCTCAAAGCAACTACTTTCTCAGAACGACAACGCTTCGCTGCTTTACGTTGGTTGGAATCTAGGTCTAAGTGTCGTCAGGTTTTAAACGCCGGCGCCAAACGAAAATTAATTACATGGATCGAAACATCCTTTCATCACATGAAGTTGCGGAATACAAAAGTCATCACGCTTTCATGAGCGGGTGACGGAGATGGCCTCCTCAACGATATCCAAACCCTGTTGGATCTCCTCCTCGGTGATGGTCAATGGCGGCACGAAACGCAGAGTGTTGGTACCGGCAGTGATGATGAGCAGACCGCGCTCGCGGGCTGCCTTGACGATGGGCGTCGGGTCCTGCGTAAGCTGGAGACCGAGGATGAGACCGCGGCCGCGAACCTCCTTGATCAAGTCAGGGAAGCGCTCGCGCAAGGCGTCGAAGCGGGTCTTGAAGATTTCGGCCTTGGCGGCGACGGCCTTTTGCAGACCGGGGTCGGCGAGGCGGGAGACGATGTTGTGGGCCAGGCGGCAGGCGAGGGGGTTGCCGCCAAAGGTGGTGCCGTGGTCGCCGACCTTGATCTTCTCCGAAACGTTGCTGTTGACGATGGTGGCGCCAATGGGGAAGCCGTTGCCGAGGGCCTTGGCGGTGGTGATGATGTCCGGGTGGGCCTCCTTGGGGAGGTGGGTGTGGGCCCAGAAAGTGCCGGTGCGGGAGAGACCGCACTGGATCTCATCGTAGATGAGGACGGCGCCGACCTCGCGGCAGCGCTTGGCCAGGGCGATCAGGAACTCGTCCGTCGCGGGCGTGACGCCGCCTTCGCCCTGAATGGGCTCGACAATGACACCGCAGGTCTTCTCGGTGACGGTCTCGTTGATGGCGGCGATGTCGTTGAAGGCGCCGAGCTTGAAGCCGGGCAGCATGGGCGCAAAGGGCTCCTGGTACTTGGGGTTGTGGGTGGCGGACAAGCTGCCCATGGTGCGGCCGTGGAAGGCATTGTTGAAGGAGACGACCTCGAACTTGTCACCCGAGGGCTGGCTGACCTTGGCAGCCTTCCTGGCGAACTTGATGGCGGCTTCGTTGGCCTCGGAGCCGGAGTTGCAGACGAACACCGAGTTGGCGTCGTGCATGGCACCGGCCTCGCGGGTCTTCTCGATCAGCAGCTTGGACAGGGCGCCGGTCCAAGGGTTGTAGTAGAGGTTCGAGGCGTGCATGAGCGTGCTACCCTGTAAGGTTCGGCCATGTACTGTCAGCGCATCTGGTACTAAAATGACTCACGGCGGCTCGGAGTTACCCACCTGCTCGGTCAGAATCTGGGTCAGCTCAGGATCGCAGTGTCCCAAAGCATTGACGGCGATACCAGCGGTGAAATCGAGGTATTTCCTGCCTTCAACATCCCACAACAAAGAACCTTGGCCTTGCACGAAGACGGGAGGCGGGCGGGCGTATGTGGCGACCATGTACGGCGCATGTTCGCGGACGAGAGCGGCGCTCGGGGAGTCTTCGGTCGGATCGGGGTTGGGTACTGATGACTGCTTTCACTCATTGTCAGTGTCAGTCTGGTGGTGAGTCACTCGAATAGTTTGTGACTTCATGGGGTCACCTACGCCGAAGTTGCTCTTGACCTCGCTCGTGGCGGCCGCAGCCGCAGACGAAAGTGCGCGGGAGTTGATGCGCGAGGCGACGGCCAGACGAGGCTGGCACTTGGCCAATTGAAGTCGCAGAGGAGCACGGAACGCCATCATGGTATCTTGAAGAACAAACAGGGCTCTGCGGTAAAAGACTGGCAAGAGAGAATGATGTTAAAGAGAAGTCGTCAATTAAAATTTGGGCCGTTCGCGCATGCACGCACAGAGGTGACTCGTCAAACATGTTATCGATAAGGCGCGCATTTTCCCACTTTTTGCACCGTTTGGAGGGGCAGATCCACTCTTTCCCGGTGTTACGTGCGCTGTAGCCCGGGGATATCCCTCCGATCTCGGTCGGGCTCGGACGAACTGCCGATGTGGTCTTGAAACAGAAATGCCCACTGCTACCTGGATCCCATTGACTGCAGAATGGCGGCAGCACCTACCGTAGGTACCTTGTGTAAGAGAGATATTGAGCTCAGCGAACTACATGCCACTCAAATTCTATCTGCAGTTTATCTATAATATGTAATTTCAAGAGCAGGCAAAAGTCAGGAGCCTGCGTTATCCAGACTGTGGATCAAATTTCAGACGCGTGTTGACATCGCCAATTCAGCTTCTCCGCGAACAGAAGTTTGCTTCACAGTCGTCTGTCTACTTTGAATGATCATAGAAGAAGATGATGATCCTAAATTTCTCTCAGTCAAAGTTAACCACGAATGCCTCCTATGGCAAGTACGCATCCTTATCCCTTGACGACGTCCGATGGGGTAATTTGCAAGTACAGCTAAAAATGCGTTTCCACTTGCTCCCCTCCGACCCATACCCTCCCCAAGCGATAGGGATAGTCCTCGAAGTACGCCCGTCATCAAACTTGACAGTCAGTCTGATCAATGCCTCTTTCCGTAGCATTTCCCTCATACTCATCAAAATGTCTCTCTCCCTCACCATGTACTCCCAATCTAAACCATCATGACTACCATTCTTGGCCATAGAGATTCCCAATTCCAAGAGCTCCCACTGCAGTCTAAGTTCAACAATCTTGCGGTGAGGAAGAAGCACAGCTACAACTTCGTCGCTACAGAAGGCCAAACTTGAGAGTATGTCATCTGGTTGCAACCTGACTGAAGGCGCCGCGACAACCCGTCCCCAATCTGCCAGAGTCAGAAGAAGGACCAGGCTGTTGAGCCCATGATCATCATTCATTCGAGATGCTTCCACCGTAGCTCGAGTGATATTGCAGTTGTAAAATGGTTCTTGATAAATTTAAGAAGCTGGTCTGTTGACAGAACGGTCAAAAGTGCAGAAAGAACTTTCCCCGTCAAATCGAAGCGACGATATCGTGCAGTGATATGATCACAAATCGCTGGCGAAGATTGAATTCTTGACCGTAGAGCCTTCGCTATCACTCTTGAAATCTCCGTCCTTTCTTTGTAATACAATAACACTAGAGGGACCACGCTATCATTACACTACTCCAAAGCGGCAACAATGCCGTCCGGGCTGAAGGTGAGATTTGAATCCCGAAGTCGAAATAGGTCGCACAGTGGCTCTTCCGGATCTCTGTGGTTCGTCGAATGAATGCCTACGTTGCTTCCTCATGCTGAAATGGTCTTCCGGGTGGTCTCAAAGCTCTAACCCCTGGCAAGCAATGCACAAATTCCGCATAGATCGCCTTGAGCTATGTAGCTTTCCATAACTGTGTTCCAAATGCTAGACTCAGTACCTAGCCTCTAGCTCTAATCGTTAAGGTAAGCTTGTGGCCAATTCTATATCCGTTAAGCAGCTTTAAAAGCCCGTCTCAAGCTTTTACCAACGATGCACAGCCAATTAACTCTTGGATATAAAGCCGACCTAAGCGCCGGCAATTTATAGTCGCCATAAACCCGACAATTCCTTTTAATCTACCTTTGCTGCCTAAAATTCCCTTGAAAGCATACTGCCGATCGATCCTTCCTATGTATTATTGGACATGGGTAGCAAATTGCACAGCCCTATACAGTATAATTAGATAATAATGGACTTAAATGCTTATAGTCGATATATAATCCCCCTTACTCTTTTAGCTATCTTAATACAATACATTCGGCTTAGAATTACGGATAGTAATTGACCGACTCAGGAACTATGTATTTCCATAATGTACTATAGATTTCAGATCGACAAACCTAATAGGCACAGCGGGTCCTGGGGACGCCTCGGCCTAAAATTCATAAGAAACATTAGTTGACTTTTGCCCGTGACATACCCCATCCATGGTGTTGATTATTTCTTTCTACGGTAATTCGTAAACCAAAAACAGTCATTCGATATCATATCGTCTTCTATTTCCCGTGTTGCTAGCTGAGTATTCCAGCATCCCTCAGTCAATTTCTGGATGCTAATCATGGCGTCTGCTTGCTACTCATCGGACATACCGGCTTACTGGGTCATGGGCGGACAAGGTAACTCCTTATTAAAGTGACCTTCTAATTTAGGTTAGTTAAGGAGGCTTCTGTACTCCGTATATAAGTTCGGCTTTCTTAGAAACCCTGTGAATCCTCTCAATCGTGACATGACACAGCGACAAGCTTTTTTTTAATAGTCTTAGCAATCCTACCAATTTTTATTTCAGCAAATTTTAGTTGCTACCCAATCACTTTTCTACCGGCATCAATTCAACTTGCAGTTTCTGCTCGTCATTTTTTACCCACTCGAAAGCCGTCAGTTGAGCAATCATGGTGTCGCTCAAGATTTTCGGCATTGCTTTGGCTTTCGCTGCTGAAGCATCTACTCAGCCAACCTACGCCGATGTTCCCGACATCATCCCATCGAACGCTGCCAGGAACGTTCCGCGTGCTGCACCCTTCATTCCTGGAGGCAAGAAAGCTGGGTCTGCAGGCGGCAATGCTGTACCCTTTTGGAAAGAACATCTTGGCTGGTGGTATGATTGGACCCCTAGTCCTCACTCAGTCCCCGGAGTTGTCGGCGTCTCGATGCTCTGGGGAAATGGTCAGAACGGGCCTCATGATTCCAAGCGCTTTTCAGACTTTGGGAAGTTGACGGAGACTCCTCAATATCTCCTAGGCTTCAACGAGCCGGACTGCAAGGGCCAAGATACTTCTGCCAACATGAAGGTCACCAACGCTGTCGAAGTATGGAACAATCGAATTGCTCCTTACGGCAGCAAGGGATCGCTCATCGGCAGTCCTGCGATGTGCATGCAAAAGGATGAGAAGTGGTTGAAGAATTTCAACGCCGCTTCTCTACTGCACTCGTGGGACTTTACTGCAATCCATATTTACAAGCCTGACATGGCAGGTGTGCAAGCCGACATTGACTATTATTGGAAGACCTATGGAAAGCCGATCTGGATCACTGAGTTCGGTTGCGTTTACGACCAGCAAGGCTTTACTCCTTGTTCCCAGCAGACTCAAATCAACCAATGGATCCGGGATGCTGTCGATCTGTTTGAGAACAATGAACATGTCATGGCCTATGCCTACACCGATGGAGGTGGCCTTGGTCAAGCATGGCTTCCCACGAAGAACAATGGGAAGGAACTGTCGGAGTCAGGCAAGACATATCTGTCAGCTATCAGAAAATATCACTAGACACCACCAGTGGTGCCATTATCTACTTACATAGACGATGTTGGTATTATTTAGGCGTGCCCACTAAGGACAATAGCAAAGACCTTTCTGTCCGACGGGACCTGCCTTACGGCGTTCCAAGCTCACTGGGGACGAGACTACAGCAATGCTTGACTTTGCCTGCCGCTCTTCCTGTGCAAACGCCATTTCGCTTGAGCGTGGCAGGGCGGCGGCGCTGGGCCTTTATGGGTCAATACTTGGGGAGTTTGGTGTCACGGTTGACAAGAGAATGTTGACCGTAGCTGCTCGCGAACTGCCGGCCCCCGTGGTCCCGGTCCTAAGAACCTGCAAAGTCGCGGCGGCTCTTGGAACATGAACGGCGTAAAGTTTGTGAAGGCGGGCCCCAGAATCTCCGCCTGGAATTGGGTGTGCATAAACAGGGATCGAGTCTTGCTATTCCTCTTCTACTTGGCTCAAGGTAACGCCGGAATCAATGACTAGGATAGTAGCTGAAGGTTGGAGGTAATATCAAATAAATACAAGGGGTACTGCGGACAATGCACAACAAACTATTTGATTTAAAACTGTGATATAGTCCTTTCTGACTTTGAGTGCTATGCATTTTAGTGTAGAGTCAATGACCTAAGACGCATTATTTCTACTGGACGGTTGCTAGATGATTTTCTATCCTGAGTTAAATAAATTATTAATAAGTTGATCGTTTACTGTTGAGTCATTGCATCCGACAATTCCGCTGAATACCAGATAGGATCACGTCATAGACGGAAATATAGAATAGCTCTATGTAATACATAAGTATAAGAAGTTCTAGTATAAATACTGTCCCGCCGTTCTCTGGAAGGAACACAGTTGACAACAAACCCAAATAACACCAACTTGTCGTCTTGCATCCTCAAAAATCAAAACAAAAATGCAGCTACAACACACTCTCATTCTTTCTTCTCTGGCAACGGCTATCAATGCAGCCTCAACCTGCGTTGAGGGCGCCACCCTATCTGAGAACTGGGAGCGCTCCTGGTTCAGCCGACAGTCCAACGGAATCCATGTCGCTTCATTCAGGAACGGCTACGCGAACTTCGCCGCTCCTTCTCTGAACTCGAAGCAAGGCGTACTCCAGCTATCTAACAGCGGAACACAGAGGTTGAGTGTCTGCCTGATTAAAAACCCGTCAGGGATTACTTGCTATTGGCTGAACGCTGGGGATACTTGCAAGACAAACGCATATGTTGATCCCAACTGGTCACTGGGTGTTCGTCCTCCTGCTCTCATCTCTTATAAGACGACGGTTAACGTAAATCAGGTCGGCTCGGTCTAGCAACTTGAAAGGTGTTCGGATGCCGTAGGACTGATACACAGTACTCAAAACCGAGGCTAGACCGGCAATTTAGATTCTGACTCTCCTGTATTTCAAGCGGACGGACTGGAGGTCGTTACTTCAGGAAGTACTCTATCAGAAGGCAGGGTTAAATAAACAGGCTTTATATTTATCGGATGTCTATCGAGGCAGTGAGAGTATCCACTGATACTGTTTTATCAATACCGTGTAAAAGATATCGAGAACCGCCCGAGCGATCAGCAAAGGTAGAAATTAAAACATAAATACCTATCAACTTGTTACGACCGAAAGTTGTGACCTGTTTACGTATATTCTAATAACCGCTAATAGCAAAGCCTTGGTCGAAGGGTTTATTAGCTTTCAGCTCTCTCTTAACGCCTTGCTTTCGAGGTTTCCACTGACTCTGTTTGTTGTTGTCCCAGAATTGGCAAATCCGATGGCCCGAGTCGGGAGTTATATTACAGTAATAGAGCTAGTGTCTTGAGTACTAAGGTTAATTGTGTGATTTCGCGCCATGTATATCCTTTTGATCCCGGTCTACCTTTAATGAACTGCTGGTGGTCTCAAAAGAGTTTCTCCATCATTCGCTTTCGATGATGACTTATATCTAGATATTCCACTTGGAGTTGGTGACATCTGTACGTAGATTTCATGATAGCAGTCATCGCCCGATGATTTCAAGGGGTATCGTACGTCTTAGCATGCTTGTATGCAAACTGACCCAGTCAAAGGTTGTATATACACACAAACCGTTGATGAATTCCGCCTCCATTCTGATCGCCGCAACATCAAATCTCTTGTCAGGATCCGTGTTCTCTCTGATGTATTCGATCTTCTTCCGGTTGCTAAGTGAGCCTAGGCCGGATACCAACTCAGTGGACCAGCAGGCACTCTCATCAGGAGGGAGTCCCAAAGCAACAATACTGACTTTTGTGAAATATGAAACAAGCAGCAACATCAATTCCTTCTTGTCAAAAAAACGCAGCAACCACAGCAACCCACTCATTTCAAATTCGGTTCGATCGCCGACCGAATCGAGGAGTATCGGGATGATCTTACCCTCTTTCCGATTGCGGGAAGCTTCTTCAAGAACTTCCGTTATTTGATAAGAATGTGTTTGTTTCTTGAGAAGCATTTGCAACGACGCCGGATCGATAACCTTCACTATCGCGGTCAATCCATCTTGCGTTAATGGAATAGAAGGCTTATCTCATTTGGTCAGCAACATGAGGATTTGATCCCTGCCGTCTTTTCGCCGTAGCAAGGCTACGGCAAGAGGATGATTGATCTGTATGCATTCTCCAAAACGGCTCAAAAGACTTTGCGTAGTTGCGAGATCGGAAAACTGAAACGACGACTCTACGCCCTCTTGGCTGAAGTGGAAGTTTCGATGCTCAATTTGAGCTAGATTAGAGAGAACCTTTGTAGTTCCCAGTCCTTCTTCTTTCCAAATTTCATCAACGACGGCCTTACTGACAGTGAACTTTTTGCCCCTCTCAAGAAGCGTGAGAATGTGGCTCGTGACCCCCGCCACCAAAACGCTGTGGAGTACCGCCGCTGTTTGTCGAGGCAGTGCTTCGAGAAAGAATACCATGGTTCGCTCGGGAATATCTCTGCAATATCGCAAATCGAGAAACAGGTATGTCTTGAGGACTTGCACCAGATGCTCTTCAGTCTTGAAGTAGTCTGGCGATAGTAGTGATCCCGAGTCGTTCTGCGATACGTCGGACGCTATTGCTAATAGGGCGTATACCATGTCCCGAGGGTCGCTCGCCTTGCTGTTTCGAAACTTTTGCAATAAGGTGAGGAGAACGTTCTTGGGGATCTCTGAGTAAAGGAGTCCGGAAGAAGGTCCAGAACAGCTTGGCGTCCGGCGTCGAGGACGACGTCGACGAGCTTCACAGCGATATTGAGCATGTAAGCCTGAACGGACCGTCTCCCACAATAGATCGAAGCTGCCCGTGCATTTGATACTTCCTGCAGAACCCATATCCTCGTGAACCAAGTCTCCCCGAGGAGGGAAACAAGTCCCCTCCGTTGCAGATTGATGAGAACAGCCTGGTCAAGTCCCGAGTTCTGCCGTATCTTTGTCCATTGCTCTTGTACCTGGACAAGGCTGTTTCGGCTTTTCTGACGGGCCCAGCTTTTGTGTAGTTCTTTGAGGCATCCCAGCAAGAGGTTCGTCCCATGTGTGGGCGGGCCAAGCCATATGATGATCTGTTCAGCGCCTCTGTAGATGCCAGCCATCTGTCCGACCTGGTGACCTCGCTCAACGACGTTGCTTTGGTCGATACAGACAGCGTCGATCCACATGACTTTGCTTACATGGTCGTCTCGGAGATAAGTCCAAGCAGTGAACAAGTTTTTCGTGATACAGAGGGTCTTGCCGTTGGCGATGATGGAGGCCGAGACATCGATGCTGCCCCAGGCATATGATAAGGCTTCGTAGGGGATAATGCCGTCGGAGTCCAGACTTGCTCCAAAGATATCACAGGATATCTCGCCGGTGGATCCAGGATGAAGCATAAGTAACCGGAAGGATTTCCCCGTCGTACTGGAACAGGTCCATGATGTGTCAAGTAATTGATGTTTGCGTATCTTCATCGATCTCTGATGGAGGAGCTAGAAAGCTCACCTGAGTCATAAGCCGTCTGCTTGACTAGAAATGACGCCGAAATGGTGGTCATGGTGGATTTATACGTCTCCCCATCTACCTGCTTGACATAATCAGGCTGAGAGAGGGTATTTGTGGCCTGAAACGTAGCTAAGCTGATCACAGTGACCTGGTTGATGAGCTGCTCAACCAGCAAATCTGCCTCGTTAAACCGCATGGCCGATGGAGGTATCTCATGCATGAAGTTTTGACGAATGATACACTGACGTGATGGTGGGTAATCGAGGAGTGGTGGCGAAGCCGCTTCGCCTGGCGAGCAGATTTGTACACTGTATCAAAGACTGGCAGTGTGGGACTGATGCGCCGAGAAGGTGACAGGGCAGCATTCTCGAAAGAGCCTCTTTGTGCTCGCAGCGTGAAAACATTGAGACGACATCTTGACGAAGGTGCTATTACCGGACCTCCGTAAGTAGGCGTTGGACTGAACATCTTGGGTCATTGCCATGATACTGCAAGAAGCAATTGCTACCTAGTCGTTGTCTCGGATCGGAGTGTTGTCTTAGTACGCACAATCGGAATATCGAAGTTCCATTGATATTGACAAGTCGGGTGCCGGCGTTGTCCACGATACCGGATTGCGTCGGGATTCCGGGTGCTCGTGACTCGTCATGTGGACGTCGAATGCGTTCCTGAGAAAACTCTACCGAATCCGGGGATAGGCGGCAGAGGCAGGTCTACCTTGGTGCTTAGGTAACCCATTCGGTTTACACTGCAACCCTGGCTGAGGGCCCTGCCTGCAGGACAGCAATCTTCAGTGGAGTTGGACAGCGGTTCAGCAGCTGCCAGCAGTGAAACCGGTAAGGGAACAGCGCTAGAAGAGCCAACCGGCGTTGCATGATTGGACATCCTCGGTGTCGGATCCGGGGTGGGTCTCGAAGGGGACTAGCGGCGGAGGCCGCAGTTGCCCGCGTGCCCCTCCAAGGTTCTCCGTACTTGCTGCGTACAGGCTATTCGTACAAAAGTAAGTAGTGGGTATCCGTACCCCGTGCGGGTTGACTCGAGCACCCAGGCCAAACCCACACTGCGGGTGGGTTTGGGCCTCTTCACATGTCAGCTGCCCTTCTCGCCCAAACCCAAACAAACGTCACCATCTCACCTCAGAAGCCAGCAATTGAACCGAGCCCACGCGGGGAGGCACACACCACACACAGAGTACACTCACTCGACCGCTTTCACATTGAAACATGTGCCGCCGGTACCCTGGTCAAGGACCCTCTTTCACGAGCAACGTCGGCCGTTGTTGTCGTTGCTGTTGCTGTTGCTGCTACCGCTCCTCTTCCCATTGTAGTCTTCTTTGACAGCTCTCGCTCGACTCTCTACTACTCCTCTCCGCCATATCCGTCGCGGAACATATCGTCATTCATTCCAAGCACTCGACTGTCATCATCTTCGGCTCCTAGCCCCTCGTACCACCACGTACAACCATTCCCTCCCCCAAACGTGTACGATCCAAAACAACCGGAACCTCTCCGGCCTTCTATTTCGAACCAAGTCCAACTTCGGGTGGCGGTCCGCGGTGTCAAGCCGTCCGTCGCTGCACCTTTTCGCCCGCCGTGCTCGCCAAGCGCTTCTCCGAGCTTGCCTGGGACGTATTGCCATGGCCTTTTAGCCCTGGAGCCATCGCATTACTCGCGCTGCGCCGTCCCGTCGACGACTTCAACGCCATCCATTGTTACCCCCCAGCCACAACCTCGTGGTATTGCGCTGCTCGCTTGGCCAGCCGCGCCTCCGGCTGTCCTCGGTGCCTAGACTCCCATGATTTTGTGACGGAATCTATAAACACCTACTGCTTCTTCCTTCCCCTACTTTGTACACTGCTCTGGTGTTCATCGTAGCATACACCAGTCGCCATGATAGACCACGTCCTGGGACGGCCGTCGGTCAAATCGCGCCGCCTTCAGGTGCTGGCGGTGCTGGCTTTCTGGTCGGCATACATCTTGAGGTAACACACGACTTCTTGAATCTCGTGCAAATGCTGTCGTGATAAGAGCTGACGAGATCTCTTGCAGAGGACACCCCCATGGCCCCCCCGTCATTCGCTTTTTCTCCAAGCTCACGACGAAGCGCCTCACGACATGGCAGACCGTCGTGGTCACCATGATCTACCTCTACGCGGCCCGACACTTTAGCACTCTGGTCGGCCTTGCGAGTCCCGAACCCATGTCAAATATGTACGACGCCACCTACTTCCGCGCAACATGGATCTTGACTGCTCTGGATGCCGGCTTTTGGACTGCCATGAAGATTCGCGCAAAGTGGCTTCGCGATCTGGCCAGCATCGTCTTCTCCGTATTCTACATGTTTGCCGCCGAGAAGGCCGATGAAAAGGTGCGCAAGGTGCGTGGCATGTTGACTGTCGAGCATCTGCGCGTGTCTTGGGATAAAGGAACGACGCCGTACCTGAAATTCTTCCAGGGTCTCATGCGGCCTCGCTTTTCCCGCTGGCCCCCGCGCGCAATTCGCATTCCGCGACCCTCTGGTAGTGATTATAAGGAGCCTGTGTCGGCCTGGCTCTACTTTGATGGCCCATTGACGGACCTCGTGCGACACAGCAGAATCATTCTGGATATCCCTGGTGGTGGATTCGTCGCCATGGATCCTCGATGCAATGATGATAAGCTGTTCGCGTGGGCGTCCAAGACTGGTATGCCAGTTCTTAGCTTGGATTACAAAAAGGCTCCCGAATTCCCGTACCCCTTTGCCCTGAACGAGTGCTTCGACGTCTACACGACACTCGTTCGAAGCAAGGGAAGATGCATCGGCATGTCTGGAAGAGAGACACCCCGAATCGTGCTTACAGGTGACAGCGCTGGTGGTAACTTGGCCACGGCAACAACTCTCATGATTGTGGAGAGAACATCGGTGCCCATGCGTCGCTACTCGAGCACCGGAGATCTGCCGTTGCCCGACGGATTGGTCTTGTTCTACCCAGCACTTGATATGAACATTGGCAACTGGATGTCAGACGAACAGATGTCACTGATGAAGGACAGAAGGCTGAGAAGCACGAACCAGTCGATCATCAGACGGAAAAGCATGCAGTACAACGACCTCGTCGGCACACCTCACCACAGTGATGACGAGGAGGATTCCAACAAGCAGTCGACCGAACTGACAGCCAAGGAGGCCCAGATCGCCTCGCAACAGGCGCTCGCTAGTCCCCATCCCGAGTTTTCGCATGGCGGTCCACAAAGTATGTCCAATGCAGAATCCCCAGCTCCGGATATCAAGCGTCAGCAGAGCGCATCCCATCACTCCGAGCCACTTCGAACTCGCCTCGCCATGTCTTCCATGATATCCTATTTCAACGATCGCGTGCTCACGCCAGAGATGATGCGCGCCATGATCATTCTCTATATCGGTCCTCACAACCGACCCGACTTCAGCAAGGACTACCTCCTCTCTCCTGTCCTCACCCCCGACTCCCTCCTCGCGCGCTTCCCCAAGGTCTACTTCCTGACCGGCGAGCGAGACCCTTTGGTCGACGACACTGTCATCTTCTCAGCGCGCCTGCGCAAGGTGAAGGAGTCCATGTTCGACCAAGCTCAATCCGAGCGCTCCGACCTCGGCGATGGACTCGAGCCCGTCTTCAACCCCAAGGACGTCGCCGAGGTGATGCTGATTCCCGGCATCTCTCACGGTTTCCTCCAGTTCCCGACCGTGTATCCGCCAGCATGGAAGCATTTTGAGAGGTCAGCGGAATGGATCACAGAGATCTTTGCCTCAGCCGACGCCGTCCGGGAACGAGAGAGCCGTGGTCGCAGACGCGTCGGCGGCGGACCGATAACCAACGGCAACAGTGAGGGCCGGCATCACAACCGCGTCGAGTCAAGCGGGGACGAGGATAGGCCGCTAGAGATTAGCATGACGAGGGCGAACCGCAAGAATACCCTGACCAAGGAGCCGCAGGTCATGGACGAGAGCGAGTCCATTGTACCCGATGCGAGCGGCAAGAAGAAGAATGGCCGCGCAAGGGGCGCGAGTAAGAGTGCGGGGGCGAGCCTTGTGAAGCTGAAGAGCACGGACGACTTGTTGGGAAGGAGAATGCAGGGTCTTGCTGGGGGTTTGACTGGCGTTGGGAGGGGACAGGAATGATAGCGGGCGAATTGCCCTGAAAGTATTCTTGTACGATGGAGGCGCACAGTACCTATCACGATTTCGAGTCACGAATGTAGCCTCTGACGGGAATGTGTTCTTTCGCTGGGTGGCTATAGATGTTTTGTAGATTGGATTCGCCAACGAAGCTGTACACATACGTCGGGTAGCACCAAGTTTTATAGACACCAGTTTGATCATGGCCGTGCCTCAATCGTGTCAGTACGTAGTCCCGCCTCCAGTAAAGGGGTTGATGGTCGTTGGCCTAGGGTCGAGAGATCTTCCTTCCCCTGACAACCCTGACAACGATCATGGAAGAGTTCGCGGTCGAGAGAATGATGTGAAGCCTGCAAAAAGCGAGGTGAGCCACGATGAGGCATAAAAGCTTACAGATATACTCGAGAGACCTCGTGATCCATGCTCAGCCTCGACTCGGTTGTCACCATCAATCACGCACCCGGAAGGCAGGTGCGCTGGCCGGCTATACCTTCCACACCACCATGCGCCCATGCTACCTCTTCGAACCACCCAACCTGAATAAACAAAATACACACTAGGTAGGCGGCAAGTCTATATAACCCCCTTCAATTCCAGTCCCGTCACCAGCACAGCAGGCGCCCCTCAGGTCGGGGGTCAGGTCAAAACTGTGGCGTGGGTGGTGGAACGATTAATGGTCAACAATCATTTACGCCAACCAGCCTTACTCGAAGACAGACTTGGCGCATACGAGAGTACCCCGAGTTCGAATCCCAACTTGTGCGCCAGAGATGTAGCCCCCGTTCGCCACCGGGGGGGGGGGTGGGGGGGGTGAACTCTTTTGCTGTTTGGGTTGATGTGACTGGTGTCTTTTTCGGAGGTTGTTTGGCTCCCTTTTTGATGTTTACGTTATATTGTAAATTGCGGCTGCTTCTTCTCTCGCTCTGATGTGGAGCAATTGAGCAAGATACTATACCATCTTTGCGCTACAGCGTTCATGGAACACTGAGGCGGTGCTTTAAGAGGCCCTGGATAACCTACCTAAGGCAGACTGGAGAATCCTCAGGTCACATTACTCTGGTTCTCTACAATACGAAATTTAGAGATAGGATCTCACTGGCTTATACATAATCGGAGGATGTCTCTGTTCCGTTGAATCTTGGTCTCATCTTCGTCGCAAGGGATAAGTGAAGGTTGTTAATAGTTCATTGGGTTAACTGCCATTGTGAGCACTTCCGCTTACAGACAATGATCATTCTCGTAGGATAGCAGGGGAAGCAGTTCAAGTACTTAATATCACCCCTTTCTTTGATATTCAGATCGGGGACTCAACTCTTGACTGGTGTCTGCCTACCTACCTTTCAGGCTCTCAAGATCGCCAGTAGGCAATGGAATTGCTAGACAGCCACGGTTGCGGGAAATGGGCGCCGAGCCTGCCTTAGATGAATCACTTGCTAGCTTCTTTGCTCGAGAAGCTAGGTATGATTCATGGCCTTTGGATATATGCTCTCGTTACGGGACACGTGTATGGGAAGGCGGCTCAGGTCAGGCAGACGCGACCAGACCGCCCGGCTCGAACCTTCCACGTGCCTCGTACCACCTGCCACCCGCCGCTTGAATACACACAGGAAGACCCATATAGGCCTCGTCGAATCCTTTCCTGTCACCAGCACAGCAGGCGCTCCCATTTGGGGGTCAGGTCAAAACTGGCTGGGTGGTGGAGTGGTTCGAGTCCACAAGCCTACTCGGTGAAGGCTTTGAGAGGTCCCGTGTTCGAGTCCCAGCATGTGCACCAAGAGATGTAGTCCCCATTCGCCACCGGGGGGATCAACTCTTTTGCCAATTCGTTCATTTTTGAGAGGCCTTTTAGATGTTTATCGCATATGTCTTATTCGCTTTTTGCGCTGTCTTTGAGGGAAAGTTCGATCTGATTACCTTCTGTCATCACACTATTATTCCAAGGAACGTCGAAATGCTTCCCTAGAGTCTGTAGATAATGGCAGATTAGGAATCCTAAGGTCTCTTCTTCCGATTGTTGCTGATGTAGAGTGGGAATGGGATGTCACTCGTCTGAACCCAGTCAAGAGGTGAATGTGTGCTTCGTACACAGTCATAGTCTACCTAGTTTCATCTAGGTCGAATCTATCGAGGACGCTGGGAATTCTGAGGGGCTTACTGGACAACGCTGGAGAAGAAGAAAAGGGTAGAGGAACGATTCCAATGCTCTCCGAGCTCATGGGTGCTACCATGCAAAGAGGATAGGGTTTTCGCTTTGCTGGGAACTTGACAAGATGACAATTTCGCAGGGCTGTCTCTGAGTTCGCAGCTGGAGATATCAGCGCCTATCAGACGGAGACTTGGATCTGTTCTGTTTCTGCTATGTCGAGATCTGGCTACCCTGACCTATACCATGACCAGAGTTAGAGGGGATCGCGTCGTCATGAACGAGTTATTCAGCGACAAGGAATGGCGATTTAAAGATGCAGATGACAGTGGGCTCGAACGAGAGAAGCCGAGCAGGTTACGAAGAAATCCAGAGGAGTGTGCACCTTTGAATAACGTCCAGGGATAGTTAATTGAACTTGGAAAGGTTCACCATGCAAAGAATGTCAATAGCACTGCGGCAAGATACTTTCTTAGAGACTCTTTGTAGCATGGCCGGCGATATGCACCCTCCCCCCTTCAACAGATTCGAGAGCATAAGGCGCGAACCGCGGCGCGAACTCACTCAAATCACCTCTGAATTAGCTAGTAGTATTTCACAACCTCAATCAACACATATTCACAGATTCTTGAAGGCGTCGCAGCCAGTGTGCCGATGTTTCTCTGATCCAGAGCTCACCATCGCTCGAGGTGAAAAAGGGGCGACAGGAACCGCACCAAGTAACTCGGAAAGTACTTGTCAACATCGTCGAGAGGCTGCAATTCGTTCACCTGCCGGTCATGCATCAAGCGTAGCTCCATACGTAGACAAGTAAAATAGGTTGATGTGCTTACATCGCAAGTGTTGGCTGCCAGACATCCTACTAGCACAGCTCACCTGGATACCTCGCGAGCGCTTGGGCAACGAGAGGGGGAGATTTACCCCTTTTCCGGCGCTTCGCGATGTACAAGGCCAGCATACGCCAACAATAAGCATGGAAGTCTCAGGACAGTTCACAATGAATGCTGTCGAATCTTGAAAGGTGCGGTCTCGTTTTCATTATTTTACTACGAGTCCTTGACCGCGAATTACTATCTAATCCTATGTCATTCTGGTATCTTCATCAAACCCCCCTTTTGATCCTTCCGACCAAATGGTCCCAGTTGAAGGGAGACCAATGCAACAACACTCGTTGAAGTCATCCCAAGGTAGACAACGACATCACGTCGTGCTTTAAACCCTCATTCATCCAAAAATCAGACACCCGCCCAAACGCCAACCATCCAAGACCTCCTTCCACACGCTCAGCAACACCCCGTTTCCAGCCCCTTTAAGCCTTACCAGCATACTTCTTCACAACAATCTCAATCTCCCCCTTCAAAACCTCCTTCCTCTCCTCAGAGCACCAGCTTCCCTCCACGCTCCCCACCGCAATCCCCTTCCACTCCTCGATACTCAACCCAAACGCCTCCTGCACAGCACAGTAATTCTCGAGGATATACCCTCCAAAATACGCAGGGTCGTCGCTGTTGATGCTGAACCGCACACCTTGATCCAAAAACTCCCGAATGGGCATCTCCTTCATCTCCTTGACACCCCTCAACACCACATTCGAAATCGGACACAGACTCAACAGCGTCTTATCCCGCGCCAACCTCGCCAACAGCTCAGGACTCTCCGCCGACCGCCGCCCGTGATCGATGCGCGTCACGCCGCAGTCGTCGAGCGCCTGCACGACGCACTCGGCAGGCGCCTCCTCGCCCGCGTGCGCCGTCGCCCTCACGCCCGCCGCCCTTACCGCGTCGTAGATAGACGTCCACATCTTGGGCGGGTACGGCGCCTCGCTGCTCGACATGCCCACGCCCGCAATCGTGCCGTCGGCAAAGTGGCCCGCGTCCCTGGCCTCGACAAACATGCGCAGCCCGTCCTCGACGGTACAGTGCCGCAAGAAGCAGACGATATACTCGACCGTCAACCCCTCGAAATCCCGCTGCGCACGCTCCTTTGCGCGCCTCAAGCCCTCGATGACGGTCTCGTACGCGACGCCGCGGCACGTGTGCGCCTGCGGGTCGAAAAACACCTCTGCGTGACGCACGTTTTGCGAGTGCGCCTTTTTGAGATAGGCATAGCCCAGCTCCTCAAAGTCGGTGACGGTCAGGAGCACGGAGAATCCGATAAAGTAGTAGTGCAAGAAGTCGTCGAGCGAGGAAAAGTTGCGGTACCGCTCGTACAGGGCCTCGACGCTGGCGAAAGCCGGATCCTTGTCGACGGGCAGGGTGATGTTGTTCTGTGCGGCCAGGTGGAACAGCAGCTCGGGCCCCAGGGAGCCCTCGATGTGAATGTGGTGCTCACACTTTGGGAGATCGACTAGGAAGTCGTGGAGGCCGTCCTTGCACATCGTGGGCGGGATATGGGTGTCGTGAATGTGTGTGTGTGTGTGTGCGTGTGGGTGGGTGGGGTGAGTGTGAGTGTGTTGAGGATGATGAGGAGGGGGGCCCAGGTGTCTGAAGTTGCAGAGTCTGTGTGCCGTTTGGTTGGAGATGCTCTAGATGGAGCGAGAGAGGTCGTCGTCGGCTCTGGAGATGAGGACGACAAATGATGGGATGAAGTTTGGAGGCAATGCGATGTGATGCGCCAGACAGAAGTCGCAAAAGATGGGGAGGTGTATTTTGAAAGAAGATGTTTCACCTAAAAAAGTTTGCTCAAAAAAAAAACCTCGATGGCTTCTGCGTTCGTTGCCTTTTGTGTCGTTCACGAACAAAAATAGATTTGTTGGAGAACTTCTAGAAGGAAAGTCTTGTAGACGAACGCACGGCTTGGTATCTGCCACCAAAAGTTTCTTCTTATCCCTGTTGTGTCATATCATTGGATTTTTTTCACT